GTCCTCTTCTAGGAGGATAAGGGAGCCAGGGTGCCTGAGGTGTGCCCAGTGTCCTTTAGTTTAAGAGCAAGAGTTGGGCTGTGTGTTGAGAGTCTGCTTCTCTTGGGTCCCTGGACTTTTTGGCTAGTCAGAAGGAGAATCTGCTTTAGGGGGTGCTTTCTTATAATGCTTCATGACTCATCCCAGCCCTTGGACCCTGGAAGCCCCATGCTGACCACAGAGAGGTGACTCCAGAACAGGGAGGAGGAAAGCTGGGTCAACGTTCCCAACCCTGTGGGCAGAGGCTGGTCCCACATGAATTGTGTTGGAATGGAAAAATTGTTGGTCCTGGTGTCTGTAGGCCTACAGGAGAGGCCTTTCTTGGGGTCAGTCTCCTCATCTGTCAAGGGGGATAAGGATATCCATCTGCACACTGTCTGGGCCTGAGGAAGGACAGAACCAGGACTGCTATAAGCAGCTGTGCACTGCCTATCTCAAGGGCTGCCATTACATCCCACATGGTCAAACCCCTCCACAGCATTACTGTTAGATGACATTGGAAAACACACAGTGGAATGGGGTGAGGATTCCAGAAGGAAAGAAATAACCAACAGGCATTTCTTCAGGGTCTGATGTTCCCGTTTTGCAGATGGGGAGCTCAGGCCCAGCAAGCCAGGTTAATAAGTAACTTACATGATGTGAGGCGCAAAGTCTGGATTCAGAACCAGACCTTCCTGGTTGCCATTGGCCCATTTGCCTTGGTATCTAGTGCCTTCTGAGAAGGATTAATGTCACTTTTCCTGATTTTTCTGGCCGTTCTCAGCCTATCAGAGTGGCGCCTGGGACTGTTATCTCAAAGGCAGTGTATGTGGGCCCCTCAAGTCTTCCATTCTTGGTTGGGGGAGGCCACATGCAGGGGACCCTTCTCTCACCCACATCCCACCTTGGCTGCTCCTGCTCCCACCTCTCCCACTGGGCCTTGCCAGGAGGCTGGAGTGAAGACATAACAGGATTCTGTTAGGGAGGGAACTGCTTTTGTGTAGAAAAATGCTGTCATAGGCAGCCTGAGGGCAGAAGGGGAGGAGAGGAGAAAACAAGAGATGGCCAGAGTCTCTCCTTATAAAAATAGCCCAAATTTCACTTTCTCTACGAGACCAGTGCAGACCTCCCTGTTTAAAACTGAATCTCGTGCCTCCCAGCACAAGTCAATCCCTCACCCTTGGTCTTTGTCTTTTTGCCAGAGTAGTCACCACATTCTAATCTATCCTGTAACTTGCTCGTTTATGACTTTATTTGTGTTGTCTGTCTCCCCCTCTAGACTACACTCCAGGAGGGCAAAGTCTCTGTCTCTTTGCTCAGACACCTCCCAAATGCCTGGAGCAGGCCTGATGAATGATGGATGCTCAAAAATATGTTTGTTGAATGAATGCGTGAGTTTGGGGAAGGGAGAGAGAGCTGAGCCACAGACCAGGGCAGAGTGGGCAGCAAATGGACAAGGGGTGTTTTTAAGAGCAGGGAATTTCAGGGTTTATCTTGCTGCTGGGGGTGGTGGTGTGAGGTGCACCCCCAACCCTTGCATTCTAGGCCTTCACCACCCATCTGCCTGCATGTGTGGTGTGTGTGTGAATGTGTGTGTGGTGTATGGGTGTGCATGTGTCCCAGTGTGTGCATGAATGTGGGAGTGAGTTTGTGGTGTGTGTGTCTGAGGTGTCAGAGACAGCAGAAAGATGAAGAGGGCAGGGAACTCAAGTCCACACTCAAAGCCAGGAGCCCCTACCACACAATGTGAGCCCTCACCTGGGCCCTCACCAACAGTGGCTGCCCAGATAGCTAGGGTGGTTGAACCGCCTGGAGTGTGGGAGGTGACAGCAACCGTGGCTGTGGGCCCCTCACTGAGGTACGTAGGGCATGCTGCAGGCAGGCTTTATGGCCCCTCCACCCTGTAAGGCTGCACAGCAGGTTTACCCTCATCTTGGCTGGAGAACCCTGAGACTTAGTGAGGTTAAGACACTTGCCCCCGGGGACATGAGCCCCCTTCCTGAGCTGCACGGACCCCATGTGGCCTGATTTTGAGTTCTGACTTTGCCCCAGGTGTGAAATCTTGGGCAAGTCTGTTAGATTTCTCTTCTGTGCCTTGGTTTTCTCATCTGAAAATGGGCTGATCAAGGTGACTGCTTTACCGGGTTGGTATAAGGCAAAGCTTGTGACTCACTATCAGGTCATGAAATCCATTCAGTGGGCCAGGCATGATGACATAGCATGATACCAGGGACACATCTTGCTCCCTGTACATTTTGCCAAAAGCAGGCCTTGACCAAAGTTGCTCTCAATTCCTGGATGCCTCAGAGAGTTGAAAAATTGCACAGCTGCTAAAGGGTTAAGTCGCCTATGGTTCTTTGGTTGGGCAGGGCCCAGGCTGGCCCAGAAGCCCCTCCCCGCAGTCAGCTGTGCTTTCTGGTTGTGCAGCCACCTGCTGTATAAAGCCCTTCACACATCTGCTCCAACACACCACCAGGATCCACCTGCTACAGGGAAGCCTCTGGGCCAGATCCAGAAGGTGAGGGGCTGGCATCAGGCTGCAAGGGGGGGTGCCTAGCCTGGGAGAAACTGAAGCCAGAGGAAGGGCATTCAGGGCTGGCTGGGGTCTGGAGCATTTTTGTGGCTCTTGCTCCTTTGGCAGTGCTCAGGAGAGGGAATGCTGGCATGGAGAGGTGCATGGTCTGGGGTTTGGTCTGTGAGTGTGTGGTACTGTGTCCTTCTCACAGCCTCTCTGAGCTCTGGCTTCCCTGAGTGTAAGATGACAGCAACGGTGGCAGGATTCTTCCAGACAGTTGAAAATATCCAATGATAGAACAAGAGGGAAGAACTTTGCAAAGGGAACACTTGTTCTCGTTTTCCATACAGGACCCCCTGCCCCGACTCCCACCTTGCCAGTCCCTCTCTTCCACAGTGGTGGTGAACAGGGAATCTGGTCCCACCACCCTGGCTCTGCCTCTCTACTGTGTGTCCTTGGGCTGGGTCCTGACCTCTCTGGTCCTCTGTTATTTCCCTCTGAAAATGAGGCCAATCATCAGGTCTACACCATAGGGCTGAGGTGATTTGTGCACTTAATTGACATGGCTACTGTGGCACCCTTCTCTCCCTTCCCCTCCTCCTCTATACTCACAAGGCTTGAGAGGCCCTTCCCAGGAGGCCCAAACCCTGAACCTCTCTCCCTACTGGGGTTCTGGGCCTGGAGGGGTGACCAGGCATAGGGGGATGCAGGGTGCAATGCTCAGAGTATCTGCCACAAGCTCAAAACCAGACAAACTTTATTTTTCTCCTTGGATCTCTAAGTGGTGGGGCCATTAGATCACAGAATCTGTCTGCTCTAATTGGACTAGTTTTTCTTTCTTTTCAGTGACCCTTAATAAGTTAACCAGTGGGATGTGTGTGTGTGTGTGTGTTTGTTTGGTGTGTGTTGTGTGTTTGCTGTGTGGTGTGTGTGTGTGATATGTGTGGCATAAGTACTGTGTGTGTTTGTGTGGTATGGTGTGTATGTGATGTGTGTATGTGTGTGAGGCACATGTGGTGTGTGTGTGTGATGTGTATGTGTTTGTGTGGTGTGTATGAGTCTGTGCTATGTGATGTGTGTGGTGTGGTGAAGTGGAAGGCAGGAGGGGCGCTGCAGCTCCCAGGTTAAGATCAGTTCTCCCTTAGTAAGTAGCAGCTATCACAGTGCAACTCAGCTTTGGAGCCGGAAGCACCCAGAATGGAGTCCCAGTTTTGGCCTTATGAGCTAAGTGAGGTTGGGCAGCTTTCATTATCCCTCCATCGGCAGGCTTCTCCCCTGTGGAGTGGGGCAACAACCTTTATAGCAGCACTGTGCCCTGGGACCTTCTGCAGTGAAGGAAATGTGTCATACTTGTCCTGGCCGGTACAGCAGCCACTGAGTCCTGGTACATGGCTGGTGACTGAGAAACAGAATGTTTTCTTCTCATTCTTCCAATGAATCTAAACTTAAGTAGCCACATGTGGCTTGTGGATGCTATTTATAGGATAAATGGGCTAACAATCAGGAAGGACTCAGTGAAGAGCCAGACACTTCCAGCCGTGCTGCTTTGATACACAGGCAAGTTGAAATTCTGGGAGCTCTAGTTCAGGATCCTAATGAATACAGCTAAACTTTACGGATCAGATGATTCGCAGGCATAGTGAGACTGGTGACACACCAGTCAGAGGTGTGCCGGGGCCTCTGATTCAGCCTTGCAGGTCAAGTGTGTCCAGGCCCAGGGGTCTGGGAGTTGCATCTGTTGGAGGCAGTGTAGAGTGGTAGTTAGGGGCTTGGGCCAACCCCAGCTCTAACACCTCCCAGGAGTACACCTTGACTTTGAGTGCTTTATTTAACCTCTCTGGGGTTCGATTTCCCTTATGAAATGAGAGTGATGCTAACAATAGTACCTGCCTGCTAGGGTGGAGGAGTTACATGAATTAATGTGCATAAAGTGCTCCGAACAGAGTAAGAGCTCAATTGGTGTCTGCCTATCATGATGGTGATGGCAGCAACAGAGCCCCTAAGTGCATTATGTGAATGTAGCAAGATACCAGCTAGAGGATGGACATTACACTCTGAGAGAGGAGAGCCCAGCTTTCTTCCTGGACCCCCATCCTTAGTGGGGCTGGTGATCGTCTGCTTGCCTATTTCGTACCTGAAGTGGCTCTGGAGGAAATGCCCTGGGCTGTGTTTCCTATCCGTGTGTAGATGGTTCTGCAGTCATTCAGGATTGGGAAAACTCAGACTGATGTAGGCGTAAGGGTAGGGTGGAATCTGCATCACAGCTCTGTCTTCCTGGTTGAGGATGCTGAATCTGTCACAAGGACGGGCTGTCAGCTGGGCTTGTCAGAGTGTGATTACAACGCTAGTGGATGTCACACCCCAGCATCCTTCCCTCCGAGCCCCCAGACTGCCTTCTTTGTGTCTCTTCAGGCTCAAGGCTCTGCAGCCACGATCCTTGTCCCTGGGAGACGTCAGAGCTGGCACCATGAAGGGCGTCCTTGTTGCTGGTATCATCGCAGCACTTTCAGTGTCAGCTGTAGGTGAGGAAAATCATGTAGCTCCCTTTTGGGATGAAGACCATTTTTTACACCTGATCAAAGTGTTCTTGCTTTCGGTCTCTGGGGTCCTCTCACATGGCCTCTCACTCAAGGTGTGGTCAGTGGAGAATATGAGACCCCGCTGTGCGCACTGCCCTCAGTGGAGCCGCCCTGTGTCAAGGTTGGGTCTTCCCATTGGGGAGTGGTGGACAGTGGGGAGAAACTAAAGGGGATAGCTCCGTCTCACAGCTTCAAGTTTGGGTGGCCCCAGAGGGAAGGGATACCATCCCAGCTATTCTTTCATCCTGAGAGAGGTGCAGTACTTTGCCCAGAGTACACTCTATAAATGTCTCCTGAATGTTGACGATTCTGGGCATCTTATCTCTCCAGAATCCCTGAACTGTATGCAGTGTAATTCATTGGCAAACTCCTGTGTCGACAGCACCATCACTGAGTGTCCCTCAGAGGCCAACACCAGCTGTACCAGTTTCTTGACCTTAGGTGAGTGTGGGGTGCTCATCACCCCTATTTCCGGGATTTTCACAGGACAGGAGCTGGAGAGGGTGGCCAGGGAGTAAAGGAAGGCTGAGATGGGGCCAGGCTGTGCAAAGAGAGAGATGGGGTCATGAAGGTGCCTCCCAGGAGAAGCAACACACAGGACTCAGATGGGAATACAGGGGCAGACCTGGGCAAGCAGAAAAGCCCCTGTGGCTTCTTGGAATTGCTGCTCTTGACTGAAATCTCATTCTAGACCCGTATTAGTGGACGTGAAAAGCAGGGGCAGCTCTTAATTAAATTACACAGCAGGCGATTTGCTCTGGGTCCCTGCATTCTTCAATTTTTCTGCCCTCCTTTTCTCCTCCTCAGTTCTCCTTCCCGTTCCAGATCCAACATACTTTCACTCAAACTTCTTCCCAAGGTGTTTTGCTGGCATGAATGTTACCTCTCTCTCAAAGCACTTACATTTCTTTTTAACTTTTTTATTATGGACATTTTCAAACATACACAAAAGCAGAAAAAGAATATAATGAACTGCCATGTAACCACCACCCTGTGTCAACAATTTGCCATTTTTTTCCCCTATAAATACTTCACTATTTATCTCTAACAAGGACGTTTTTTTTCTTTTTACATAACTACCATACCATTATCACAATGAAGAAAATTAGCTATAATTGTTTAATTTCTTCTAATACCCAGGCCACTTTAAAAATGTCCTAATTGTTTCAAAGACGTCATGTTATAGTCAATGCACTGGACTTTGGATCAGAATAAAATCCCCACATTGCATTTTGCTGTTAGGTCTATTATGTCTAATTTGTTTCATAACAGCTACCATAACGTTTTTTGTTCAATCCCATTTTTTTGTTGGAGAAATGGGGACATTTGTCCTGTAGCTTTTCCATATTCCAGCTTTGGTTGATTGCTTCCTTTTGGTGTCACTTCGCTTGAACTCCTATTCCTGGTATTTCTTATAAACTGGACTCATGCTGTTTAGTAGAACTTTCTTCAATAATGGAAATGTCTACATCAGTGCTGTCCTATATGGTAGCCACATATGGCTAATGACCACCTGAAATATGCTTAGTGTGACTGAGGAACTGAATTTTAAATAGCCACATATAACTAGTGGCTACTATGTTGAATAGCTCTGGTCTAGAAGCTTGACTGGATTTAGGGTCAGCATCATATTGCACAAAGGTCCATCATGTCTGCTTGGCTATTTTTAGAGATGCTAAGATGGATCAGTGGCCTCTGGGGGTGTTGTCCTGGAAACCACCCGTTTCCAGGCTCCACATCAGCCTTTCACCTGGAGTTTAACCTGCATCTCTGATCATCTCCTGCTGAAGGAAGGAACTACCTCATGGGAAAGGATTTTTCTTTTTGCAGGAAACCCTCTCCAGTGTCTCCAAAATCACATTGAGCTGAGGGTATGTTTTCTGCCCTTGCCTGAAGCAGTTACTATTCAGGGTCTTCACTCTCCCCAAAGCCTCCTCACGCGGGGCTGACAGTCTGTGTTTACCTTTGTTTAGCAGGGAGCATCACATTGTACCAGGATAAGGCTTGCTCTGCAGAGAACTGCAGTGAGGAAAGGAACGTGTTTGAGGCCTTCACCGTCCACGTGTCTGATGGAGAAAGCTTCTATTTTGCAAGTCAGTGCTGTCAAGGAAGGGAGTGCAATGACACCAATGATGCCTCAGGTGGGTGCTGGTCATGCGCCATCCTCCCTCTGTCTTCCGAGCTTCGTCCCTTCCTTTGCCACCTGAGGTCCTCACCCTTAGATTGAAATCTCAAGCCCAGGTTCTTCAGTGCATATCACTATCACATAGTCACACATCTGTTGGCTAATATTCACAATAGCTGGCTAATATTGACATTGGCTATAGGTTCGTTTTAGCTCAAAATCTTACCTTTCCTTTCTCAGCCCAACACACTCACAGACCAGAGTTCTAAAGATTGGATGGTCTGTAAGGGCAGATCTGTGGGCTTGTACACCGTAAGCATTTTGGCAGGACATGGGGAGGGATGACTGATGTCTTCAAGGCAGGATCTGAGACTTCTGAGCATGCAATTGCTCCGTTCTCAGGATCTCTCTGACTAGAGTCTTTGCCTGCCTATCCCCTTCTGCCCAGGGCAGTACCATATTCTGTGTGATAACACTGTTCTAAGTTAATAACTCTTACTCTACCCAGTTCCTCCACTGGAGAATACGTCCAGCAACGTAGAGTGCCCTGCATGTTATGGATCTAACGAAACTTCCTGCAGTGTGAAACTCCGGAGATGTTATAATGAAGAACGATGTGTCAGTCTAGTTGCAGAATTTAAGAATGGTACATCTTGGAGTTCCAATTTCCTTTTATGGGACTTGAATTGAAAACATGTCAAGCCTTGGGTCTTAAGTTCTGGATTAACAAAGAAGGGCTGGGGGAGGTTAGTAGGATAAGGCGATAAGATTAGAATGCCTTTGAGATCGCGAGGCTGTTAATGCTATTTCTGCCTCCTTACTCCAGAGCCATTCCTCCCAGGCTGTCTATCTCCTGAACTCTGTTCTCTTGCGGCTTTTAATCAAGCCAGGCTTGTTTAAGTGTATCGTGTCATTCCTGGCATTTACTTCTTTGCTAGGTTGCGTCATTCTGTAGGTGTGAGTGAGTGTCACTTTTATTACCTTCTATAGCTACACTTTTTTCTTCTCTACCTGTCACTGAGAGGTGCTGGCTCATGACAGCTTGGGTCACCTGGAAGAAAGAGTCAAACTGGGCTTTAATATCCAACCAATTATTTTTTCTACAAAAGTAATTTCATGTTAACCATTATGAAATACAAAATAATGATTATAAAATACAAAACTTATAAATGTTCAGGCAAATGTTGTGCCTGAATGTTTAAAGAATAATACCTTTGTTAGGGTAAGTTACTTACTGTTCAAGAGCAAACTCCAAATCCTATGGCTTAATGCAATAGATGTTTATTTCTTTGGAGATGTTCATTGTGGAGTCCAGGGGCCTGGGTTCCTTCCATCTCAAGGCTCTGGCCCCCACCCACTCTGGACTTGGCAGGTCTCTGCTGTATTCTTTGCATCTCACCAGCAGGTGGGTGAAGAGAGGGAATGGAGGAAGGCAGGAAGGTTTTTACAGGCAAGGCCTAGAAGTGAATGTTTCTAGGATTTTTTGTTTGTAAATTTTGTTCAAGGTCATTTTTTTTAATATTGTAGACATGTTCCAAGCAACACCTCTTCCTAACTCACTCTGTCTCAAACTCCAGCACCTATATTTGCTATGAAACAGCAAAAAATTGCTTTCTTCACTGGGGTTTGGAGGTTTCTCTCTCCTTCTGAGAGCAAGTTTGGAGTTAGCCTTGGACTCAGACTGCCCTTCCTCTGACAAGTAGACAGTCGCCTCCTCCAGCCCCTTCCTCCCCTGTGAACTGCCTGTCCTCCAGGGCTGTTTGAGTTGTATCCAACAGAGCAATACTGAAACGTAGTAAGTGCTTGATAAAAGGTAGCCACACACAACCATATCTTTGCAAATTCCCTTGGCTTTTTCCTAGGACTTTCACCTTTAAACAGGGTTAAACACAACCCAAGCCAGATTTAGAGTAAAGGCATGCATGGTCTCGTTGCATCTCCTTTGGTTGTTTTTCCCTCTTCTCAGGGAAAATTCAGGCAGGGAGAACACAAGTTCAAAGAGGAGTTGGGGTGGAAAGCAGAGCCTGGAGGAGGAGAGCCCAGGAGGAGTCTAGAGTGCTGACTCCCTCCTGGATTGACAGCAGAGGGCTGCGGAGGGTCTAAGCCCATCCCTAGATTTCACCACCTGCCAGCTACTCGGGAAAACACGGGAGATTTGAGTCGCAGGTCCAGCTCTGGCCCTCACCTGTGATCTCAGGCTCTCATCCACCTCCTGGAGCCTCAGTTTCCTCTGGGGTTAGGTGGGAGCAGGAGTCTAGGCCCTGACCTCCATGGTCCTGCTACCATTACCATTTGGTGTTCCTGATCCTGGGCTCTTTCCTGCCAGCTCCTGTTTCAGGAGGCCTAGGGAGGAAGGGCAAAGGGGCTTCAAAGTCCTTACTGTCTCTTTTGTAACCACAGAGACTCCTAAGCTCGTGCTGAAAGGCTGTTCCAACATCGATAACTCCACCTGTCAGTTCCTGTCTGCTGAAAACCGGACAGTTGGAGGAGTCACCTTTCAAAATTTTGAGTGTGTAGACACCTCCAACTCCCCCTCAACGCCCAACTCCACTGAGCCCCCCCAGACCACCACCCGCAACACCGGCTTCAAAGTCTCCTTCACCCCCACGGCCCTTGCCAGTCTCCTCCTGCTGGGGTTGCTGCTCTGAGATCCACCCCTGCCTCCTCGTTTAACTGCCATAAGTGGCAGTCACAGCCCTTCAGGTCATGCCCTGTGACAGCCACATTGTTCTCCATTATTAAAACATTGGTTCATTCGCTGACCAAATCTGTCCTGATACGTTCTGGGCTGGGCTTCCTTTGAGTGCTGTCCAGCACCACCTCTCTGTTCCTTGCCTTTGAAATCTGTGCACCTTTGTGTGTGGCCTCCCAGGACCTCCCTGATCCCTGCCCATCATGCTTCTGAGAAGAAGACCCTTCCACCTGGCTGGCATCTTCTGCCTGCAGCCCTGCACTTCTAGGAACCCACGTGCCATTGTCCCCAACCTTACACTCAGGTGCCCCAGCTGTGCCCCATAATGCCCTGTGTTGACCCCAGTGCTGATATCTAGCTATTCAGCAATTGTCTCAGCAGTGGTCAGAGGGCCACAGTGATGTTTTCTGGAACCCTGTCACCATGGGGCCCAAAGTGGGATGTAGAGGGGCTGCTGAGGCCTGGCAGACTCCACTGCCCAACCTCCCAGTCACGGAGGTGACCAACACAATGCTTGGCTCGGTGTCTCGGGTGACCAGGTGTCCTGTAGCCTTGCACAGAATGGAAGGTGGCTGCAAAGCCCCAGTCCCTCCCCTCAGGGAACATACAATCAAAGGCAGAGTTCTTGACTCCATATCAGATACCCCGGGAGCAAGAAAACCATTCAATCCAATATGCACAGAAGTCCCAGTTTAGTAAATAAGGCAGGCCTTGAGCTGGACTTGGAAGAATGGGGTTTTCTGTAAAAAAAATTTTAAAGATATGAACCATTGTGGGTCTTTATTGTCCAAGCTTGCTGACAACACACCAAGAGCAAAGCCACCAGAGAGGCCATCTTACAGTAGCTCATCAGCATGTTCACTCTTATTTATTTTACTTTTTTATTTTGAAATAATTTGGGGCTTACCTAAAAGTTGCAAAAATAGTACAGAGAGTTCACCCAGCTTCCTCTCATATTCCTGTCTTACATAACCACACTATAATTACTGAAAACAGGAAGTTAATATTGAAACAATATTGTTAACTAATAGACCTCAATCATATTTCACCAATTTTCACTAATGTCCTTTTTCTGGCCCAAGATCCAATTCTTTGCATTTAATTGTTATGTCTCCTCAGTCTCCTACAATCTGTGACAGTTCTGGAGTCTTTTTATTGGCCAGTTATTTTTCAGAATGTCCCTCACTTTGAGCTTGTCTGAAGTTTTCTCATCATAAGATTGAAGTTGTGCTTTTTTCTCAAGAATCGCACAGAAATGACGTGCCCTTCTCACTGCATCTTAACAGGAGATACATGATGTCAGTATATTGTATCACTGGTGATGTTAACCTTGATCACTTGGTGGTATCTGCCAGATTTCTTCACTGTAAAGTTACATTTTTTCCCTTTGCAGTTAATAACAGGTTAAGTTATGCTCCTGTAACAAATAGATCTTAGAGTTTAAAACAATGAAAATTCATTTCACAGTTACTTAAACCCATACAGATGTTCCTGGGTGGACATGTGTCCTTGTCAGCAACACTCCAAGAATGAGGAAGGGGCCAGGCTCCTTCCATCCAATGCTTCCCCCATACCCTGAGACTCCTTAGGATCTCAGTTAAGTGTTTTTTGCTTGTTTGTTTTGTTTATTATTATTATTTTGTGTGTGTGTGAGAAAGATCAGCCCTGAGCTAACATCCATACCAATCCTCCTCTTTTTGCTGAGGAAGACTGGCCCTGAGCTAACATCCATGCCCATCTTCCTCCACTTTATGTGGGATGCCGCCACAGCATGGCCTGACAAGCGGTGCGTCGGTGTGCGCCCGGGATCCGAACCTGGGCCACCAGCAGCAGAGCACGCACACTTAACCGCTATGCCACGGGGCCGGCCCCCTCAGTTGAGTGTTTTGCATCCAGCTGGCTAACGAGTAAAGAGAGAGAGCCTAGAGGACCCCACAGCACGCTCGAGGGGCCAGGCCTGGCAGTGGCATCTATCACGCTCATGTCTCATTGGCCAGAACTCAATCATGTGTCCTGGGAAGAAGTAGTTTATCCATCTGCATCTCAGAGGCTCTGCCTCAGAAGCAGTATGGCTCAGTGGTCAGTGGCATGGCCTCTAGAGCCAGAGTGTGGCTTCAAATTCCAGCCCTGGAACCTTGGGCAACAGATGTCACCTCTCCATGCCTGAGTTTCCCACTTGTACTAAGGGGATAGTGATAATCCCTGCTACATGGTATTGTGAGTGCTGCCAAGATAGTTCTCCTTGACAAGGGGTAAATACTAGCCATTAGTGGATGATTCCATTTTGAAAGCGGGTCCCCGTCATGCTCTAGAGTAATGTGGAAGGCATAGCCCTGGCCCACTTTCCTCAGACCATGCCAACATCACTGAGGTTATAGCTGCTTCTGTGTTTCAGGATCCCCACTCCATTTTTACCCCCTCCCCAGACCCTCTGTAGCTGCTACTACCACAGCCCCACAAACCACGGCACAGCTCATCTGCATCTCCATGTGGCTGCCGACTCCACATAGCCAAGGGCACCACCACCAGAGCTGATCGGCTCTTAGAACCTCCTGGAAGCCCCCATGCTCCGCGTCAATGGGAGGAAGCAGTGGTACTTTGGGGGAACTGCAAAAGGTCACACAGGAATGAAACCAGGGTAGCAAGGATCAGGCAGGTGGCTGGAGGATGAGCAGGGCCAGATCCCATGAGGTCTCCACACCTTGCAAGGACTCCTCAGGCTTCAGACTAAGTGCTGGGTGGTGGGGTTGGGGGGACACAGCAGAGGCAAGCACGAGAATAAGAGTGGGATTGGGTTTCTATTCTGGGAGGCTCTCCTAGACAGCAGGGTACAGGTGGAAAGACAGCACAAAGACAGACAGGGAGGGAGTTTAAACGGAGAAGCAGTGGGGACATGCCCAGGGCAGATGCTCTGTCACCCTGCTGTAATCGAGAGTAATTTGTACCCTAGAAATGCGCTCTATTTGCACTGCTGGCTCCTGCCTCCTCACTCAGAGCAAGGAAGAAGGCAAAGTGCCACTCCTGCTCAATGTCTACCTTTCTTTCCCTGCTGTCCATGCTTAACTCTGGACGCCTGTCCTCTGTGCAAGAGTCTTGGACTTCCCACTGGGATAAAGCCCTCTCCTGCCAATTCTTCCTTAGTCCCAGCCTGGGCTCTGGGATAAGCCCTTATGTCTGAAGAGATCCACAGAATTCCACACTTACACTGTAGCTCTGGACCATCACAAATCATTGCCTTGTCTTTCCATAGCACTTTAGAGTTTGTAAAGCTCTTTTGCCCAGGATAATTTATTTTATTTAGAATCAGCTTTATTCAGGTACAACTTACATACAACAAAATGTATGTGTGCAGACTGATGAGTTTTGACAAATGTGGCCATGTAACCACTCCTCCAGTCAAGATATAGAAGCGCGCCCCCCGACACCCACCTGAGTTCTCTCAGTCTCCATTGCAGTCCACCTCACTTTGGTCCCAGGCGTCCACCTGCATGTCCACTGACACCTCCTAGAAGTGACAGGAAGCTCTTCTGCTCATATTCCATAGAGCTGAGCGGTTACTTGGCATCACCTGGAGGCAAGGCAACAGACAGCATAGGCCCTGGGGGGTCAGCTCTTCCAAGCAACAACTCTGCCCCATGGAAGGGGAAGGTCAGGGGACCCTTTCCACCAGACTCCAAGCCCTTCCACCCCCTCACTCACTGCCTCAGCAGGGAAGACAGAAGGAGGGTGTGGATTTCTCTTCTTTATGGGCTGGATATAGCACCTCTCAGTTGAATTAAGATCTGAATTAAATCTCCAAATAATTCTTGATCTGAAATATGAACTGAACCAAAGCTAAAACCACTAATCACCATAAGTCTCTTTAACATCCATTTTTAACTGGATGAGTGAATATGTCCCAAGGGGCTGTGAGAAGGATGCTGGTCTTGAGATGTTCTACAGGGGCCTTAAGTTTCTGAGTGTGACTGTAGATCTGGGCGTGAGAGGGAGGGGGCTGAGAGAAGAGATGTCCCAAGCAGGATGGGCAGTGGACTTGGGGCATGGTTGCTCTTCAGCTGGAGAGACCAGCTGCTTGAGTCAAGTGATTCTGGGGGTTCCGGTGTCCCCAAAAGTGTTCCCACCAGCCGAGTTACGGAGATAAATAAAGCTTCAAATACAGCATCCCAGGAAAAGGGAAAGGTGACCAGTTGGAACTCTGGTGCTGGCGACTCATAGTGTATCATTTCTAGAAGCGGATTTTAATGGAGGGTGATGTGGGAGCCTTCCCGGGCCCCTTGCACACCAACACTAAAGCGGGAGGTAGGTCCCTGACCCTGGCTCCAGAGGTAGAAGTCACACACAGATTAATAGTGGTGGTGGAGCTTTGCCAGCACAGAGAAAGCAAGTCTCCGCGCTCCCCACATTTCCCCAGGACTGTCATGGAGTCTCAAATTCCAGCCATTCTCTTGGTCCTTGAAGTGCCACCTATTTCCCATGAACTAGCTGTAGTCACTGTCAGCTGACACCTTATTGGAAATGCTGTCTAGAGGGAGGGCTCGTGAGCAAGCTAAACCAGAAGCTGGGTGAGAAAACCAGGAATGGTCTGTGAGGGTGGCAGACAGGGAGACTGAATCAGGAGGCCGTGGGCCCCTAAGACACATCAACAAACCTCCGCAGGCCCAGGCCTGGGCCCTGATTCTTTGTGATTTGGAGTGAACCCAATATCAGAACCAACAATGATGGTTACAGTGGTGACAATATGGAAATCCATGCTTCCTCTGAACAGCTGGCTCTGTGCCACACTTTATTCTCAAGGCAATTCCTTGAAGGTAGGTTTTACTACATCTCTGTTGTCCAGATGAGCAGACTGAAACTTGCAGAGGTCAGGTGCCTTGCACACAGCTAGTGAAGTAGGTCCAGGGGTCAGATCCAGTTCTTCCCAACCACAAAAATCGAGGAAGAGCCCCAGTGAGGGGT